TTAGTATGTGCTGATTAGACATTTCTAATTTTTGTGGCAAACAAACGGTGATTATTTTCTTCGTTATTCGTAATGAGATCCTTAAGTTGAATTTGATCAAGAGAGGTAAGAAGCGGGGGTCTGCCTGGTGATTTGTTTGGAATGACTGTTCCAGTTTTTTTAAAGTATTTAATGATATCATTAACTATACTTTTTCCACATCCTAGCCTGCTGGCAATAGTTCGACTTGTATCACCTCAAGCATGCCCATATAAGATCGTGTCATGCTGATTCAAGGACAAAGGTTTACCCATATTATAGCTATTGTGTTTATAATCAAATCACGAGTTTATTTAATATAAATAAAAGAAAAAAACCTGTATTATATATATATTAAAAAAAAAATTTTTTTTAATAATAAAAAATTAAAAAAATTAAAAAAAATAAATTGGCCGGACCTTTTTGATGATCCACTATACAACAGTATCAATAACTGTAATATTTATAAATACTCCCAAATTTGAAATTTCTGAAGTTATATTGATTGATTTATTTTTTATTAGAGTATAAAACCATCTTTGATTTTCTTTACTATGATTGTCTTTTAGTGTTTTGAAGTGTTCTATTATTTGTTTCTTAAATAAAATTGCTGGAATTTCTGCCATTGTATTGAGTATATACAATTGTATTATATATATATTATTTTGTTGTTTTTTTGCTATTTCTTAATTAGAATATTTATTATTATTGTAAGGTATTTATATATTAATTTGTTTGTTTATTTATTTGATATATATTTTGACATGTTTTTGCTTGTAATCCTATATTTCTTTATTTTGTCAATTAGTTATCTGTTGTATTACCTGGATGTGTTTTCAAGTACATATAAAATATTTTGTAACTTTTGATAATTGACTATATTGATTTGTTCTAAAAGTTATATGTTTGAGTTGTTTTATCACTAGATTTGCTTTAACTAAAATATATGTTTATATTATTAAAGTATATTGAATATGTTTGTTGTAATGTTTATATTATTGATAGTTAATAACTAATTTATATCTCTATAAGATCTAGATTATATTATATGAGATCTGATAAAGTGTATGTTGGATATGTTATGTTTTGTTTTTCTCTTTATCCAAGATTTAAAAAAGAAAACTTTAGTATTCTTTTGACTTTGTTTTAATGTTTGAGATTATCAGATTTATCAGATATAATCTGGATAGTGAAAAATCCTGTTAATATCTAGAGAAGGTATCTAATCTGATATATAACTAAATAACAGCTTGAAAGATTAATATTAGTTTTTTTTTTTTTGACCTTATTGTAAATTGTTTATTGTGTTTTTTAATTTCTTTCTTATAAAAGTTTACTTTTTCCTGGAAAAAGTACTTGAAAAAAAAAAAAAGTTTGATTAGTTTTATAAATAAAAGTTATCTATTATATTCTAAAGAGTTTAAATTGAATTTTTTTGAATTGTTTTTTTCTTTTTTTCCTTTGATGTTGGAAGTATTTCTTGTTGTTTTTTCAAAATTATCAAAAAAGAAATTTTTTTAAAAATTTTTGAATCAACAAAGAGTTTTTTTTTAAAAATATTTTATAATTAACTTTTTTTAAATATTTAATATAATAAATATATTTTTCAAATAAAAGTTATATAATTATTCTTAAAAATATAATTGTTTTTTTTTTTTAGATAGAAGGATGATCAGTATCATGGTTTTTATTGAAATTATATTTAAACTATATGCTTGAACAGTTTTATATATGTTAATATTATTACTAACTTAAGTTTAACCATATCCAATTTACCTATATAATTCAACTTATACAAATCTTTTATATTAGAGATGGATTTATATATTAGGTGAGATTATATAAGAGATGAAAATCCTGCTATCAGTTTAAACCATTTAATCTATTAATCCATTTTTGTCAAAGGATATATAAGGTAATCATTTTATACAAGTCAATCCAAAGATACTTCAATTACCTTTTTTTATCAAGGTTAGAATATAATTTTGTTTTGTTGAAAATATATATTAATATTTTTTTGATAGATTATCTAAATATACTATTATTAATTAACTATATTTTATTTTTTAAATTTAAAAATTTATATTTAAAAAATATTAATATACAATATATATTATAATAATTTTATTAATTTTAATCAATTATAAAAATTTTTATTAATAGACCAATAGGTCAATAGCACAGTGGGTAGTGCTTCCTGGTCTCCAAATGCATATTCCTAGTTCAATACTTATAGAAGGCAAAACACATAAAATTATCTTTCATTTATGGGTTTACCAGTTTTCTTATAAATATCGTACTCCAAACATCTGGATTCTGACCAAATTTAGTTAAGCTGCATGAAGATGGGATCTCTGGTCTTTCTGACAATCGCAGGCTGAAAACAGGTTGAAGCAAAGAAGATTGCATAAGGAAAAACTTCTGGTCTAACTCTGATAAAAGTCCACAAATCCCCTGGCACGGCAGATTCCATTGCACAAATAATACTCTAGCCTGGAGCTATTCCAATTCAGCGCTTGCTTAAAAAAAGAGGATCTGATGAAAAGGAAAATCTAAAACCATAGGTGGTGACAAAGAGTATAGTATCTTCTTCGAAAAACCAGGTGAAAAAAGTATTGAACAGATTATCCAGGTGTTCTAACCAATCCTGAAAGGTACATGCTTCAAATGACAACCGCCAAGATCTAAATTAGGTTAAATAGTTTATAAACTAGTGATAGTATTTCTATCTCCTAAAGATTCTATCTGATATGTGGACCTATCCTTATGGTGGTAAATCGGTATAATTGGGTAAGGCTATAGGTGGAAGTGCAGATTAACTTAAATGGACCTTGTAATCATGTAATTGAATATAAATCACTCAATAAAGATCATGTGTTATTAGTGCTCTTTACCTGAAAAAAAAATTTTTTTATTAATAAAATATATCAAATTTTATTATTTAAGTTTCAAATAATTTAAATTAATAAAAAAACTCTTTTTACTAATCTCTTTACCAATATTAAAAAACAAAGGTTCTTAAAATAATCTTTATTTTTAATAATAAAATCTATATATTTTTTTTAATACTTTACTTCTTAAAGATTAATTTCTCTTTTACTTGTTTATTTTTTCTTTAAAAAATTTTATATATTTTGATAACAAAAATAAATAACTTTAAATTTATTATAAGTAAAGATGGGTTCCTAAATTAAAGACGAGGATATAATTTAAATATCTTTTACTATTAAAAAGGTTTTTTTTTAAATATAAAATCAAAAAAAAACTATTTACAAAGATTTTTTGCAATTTAAGTTTCTTGATTCAAATGTTTTTTGAATTATATTCCTATTAAAATAATAAATAATTAATTATATCTCTTTAAAAGAAATATAATTAATTTGTAAAATTTTATATACTAAATAATTTAGGAATCCATCTTTAATTATAAATATACAACTTTTGGTTAAAATAAGTATATAAGTTAATAAAGCCTACTTTCTTAGATATATAATCTTTTTTTACCAATTATACATATTTGCAACAATGTTTTCAAGTATGTTAACAAAAATTTTATCTTAATTTAATCTTGAATTTTTTGTTATATTAGAAATTTTGATTAAAATCTTGAATTAATTGATTAATATATAAAAGAAATATAAACAAAATATATACTCTCTATATATTTCATATCATATTATACTAAAACTGATAATGTAATTGATAATGTAATTGAATATAGTAAAAAAGTAAAGTGTTAAGGTATTTTCTTATTAAAAGTAATTTAAAGTCTTTTCTTTTTTCTTTTGTACTAATTTTTTTTTTTTTAATATTAAAAAAGATTTTTATTAAACTAATAATTAATTTAGATAGGTTTTTATTTATCAGTACAAATTTTTTTTTTTTTTTTTCTTTTACTTTATAAAAAAAATAAAAAAATTTTCTTTTTTAAAATCATAAGATTGTATTGAAATAACAGTTTGAATATAAACTGGTTTTGATTTCTTAAAGTTAAGATTCTAATATTTAATTTTAAGAAGAAATAGCTTTATAATTTTTTACAATAATACTTAAAGAGTTAGAATTTATAAAGTTTAAGATAATTAATATTATGCAATATTAACTTAATAAATTATTTCCTTGTAATAAAATAGTTAGTGAATAGTTAGATTATGTGAACTATATATGTAATAGAAATTGGTAGATTCTTGATACAATTTAATATAATTATTTGATGCAATTAATTAAGTTACTATTAAAATATATAAAATAATTAAGTCAAATATAATTATTTTTAAGAATTTTGGCAATTAAATCAACAGTAAAATAATTTATACCACATGTATAATATGAATAACATGATGGTCTTGATATTAAAAATTCAAGAATCACATACAAATCTATAAATAACTTGTTAACAGGTATTTTACTATAAGAGAATTGTTTATTTTTAATATAGTATTATATTGTATATTGTATTATTGTTTTTCATAATGGATTAATAAATATATTACTAACAATTTGATTAAAGGAAAAAAAATAATTTAAATTAACAAAATTTATTATTTTAATTTTATTAAAAATAAAATTATATATAAATATATAAATAGTAATCATAATATACAGTAAATCATTTTTGTATTAATATTATTTATACTGTAACACATAAATTGTTAATGTTTTTGAAATTGAAATAACAAAATCATATATTATGTTTCTTAAATTATTAAAAAAATTTTTTAAGTTGAAATAACCATTTCTTAAAACCATTGAATTATAATAAGAAAGTCATGGATCATAGTTCAGCTGCTAGATATAGCATCCTAAAAATATCATTGAAACAATGGAAGATCAATTGCTCATAGTTTTTTAATTAAACACAAATAGCTCTATATTTAGAAACAATTGTTATCTTGATAGAATAAAATGTTCAAAGTATATAGTAACTAAGTATTCGAAAATAATGTTCAATGATACTAAGCTTTAAATTATGAAGATGATGCTCATGACTTTTCACGAATGCTTCCATTATTCCGTTTCCATGTTTCGATAATTGGTTGAATGTCTAACGGAGGTTCATATTCTGTAAGATCCAATGAATAACCGCATACGCCATCCATCTCTTTATTTTTTGATAAAACGCTAACTCGAGACCCATTGTACGTCTGAATCAACTTTTGTAAAAGGTGCAAGCATCCTTGGAGTGATTCTGTTCCTACATCTTGGCTATCTACCATAAAATCAAAATGTTTTGATGTTGCAAATGGCGACACAGCTATTATTACTTGCATGAAGGTTTCAACTATTTTTTCATCTCTCAGAATTGGTCTGTATAGATGAAATATGATTTTACTAATGTCTTTCTCTTGGTTACTGCCATCGTCACAATTAACTAATTCAATTTTAATGAATTCTTCAAATGATTTTTCCTCTGAGTGGGATAATGTGCGGTCTGCAAAAAATTTACCAAGGCCTACTCCAATCGCACCTCCAGCAGCACCAACAGCACCGGTTGCGGCGACACCTACAAAGGAATCATTTCTTTTTAATATTTCACAAACACCTTGAAGTTACAACTCCAGCATAAACACGCTGCAAATGACCCCACACTGCTATACCTCCAGAACCTAATCCTAAAGCTCCAATGATTGTAGTAAATGCGATCGGAGTAAGAAAGACTTGAAGAACGAACAAAGATCAATTTTGGGTTACATTATGAATAATGATTTATTATAGTTTTCGTCTTTCTGAATCACAAACCTCCGGTAAAGGCCGCTGCACCTCCTATAACCCCTGTAATTCACGCAAGAAATTTTTATTGCATATGTCTAGTAAATTTATTAGATTCAAACTTTCCCTAAGCTTACATGGATTCTTCCATATCGGCCTTGTTGACTTTACGTGTCCATTATTTACAAATGCTTCATATATAGAAACTTTAAATAACGTGAGATCTGATATTTGTGTCATTTCAACCTTGACTTTATTATTGTTATATCGCAAATAGACTAAATGGGATTAAACTATCGGGATTAGAGCAAAACTAAAATAAAATAACGATTCATTTTACATAATAAGGGAGGTATTATTATTATTCTATGATCACGTGATCATGAACTCGACTGAATATTTAAGCATACATTAACTCATACAAATTCAGAAATTTTTGTTTCCAGCTGAAGCAGGAATCTATCATGGCTATGATAACCAACGTCAATATTATATAATAATATAAGGAATTTGACCTTAGACACAAACATTATGACCTTTACTTCCCTACATCTTACGATGTTCACACAATTTATTTATGATCTTCATTGTTTAGTGCCGCTAATAAAATTGATATCAATGAAGAATCATTCCAAAGTTTGCATTACCGCTCATCTTTGAAGAATCAGTCGGATTAATGTTTAATGAACCAAATAAAGGAAAGCAAATGGAAACGAGATCGACAAATCAAAAATAGAGGATGATTGGGAGAAAAATCGATTGGCAAAAGAAAATTTGGAGTAAAGATGTTTCTGCGAGCCTGCAGAATTTCCGAACGTGAGGAACTAAGGTTGAATTATTACCACTTTGTCCTTATTACATCCAGTGATGATAAGAAGACAGGAAAGGCAAAATCGAATTTGGCATGAGTCTAGTTTTCAGCGATAAGTATTGAAGTTCTATGTTATTCACCACCCGTCTCGCTTCACACTTTTCACATTGCTAATTGATTTATAGCAAGACGAGCATTAGAATTCTTTCTTTTCCGGCCCCGAAAGAATGAGATAATAGATGTGTCATTAGAAACTTGATGTTATTTTTCCTAACCCACTTGCATTAAATATCCTATCTTCTTTGATCATCCTTACATCGAATCGCATGTAGATAAAATTTCCATTTAGAATAAGCTTGCTTCTTTGCGTTCTTTGAATACTTATTTACCATGTATAGTAGGTGACTTGGTCCTACTTCCATGTCAGACAGAATATTGATGAATTAATTTCTCTTGCGTTATTTGATTTTATATTAATGGTAACCTTGTCAGTCGCAAGTTTAAAGTAAGGTTGGCATTTTAAGGAACTACCAACTCCTTTATTTTTTGACGGACTGATCTGTTCCCTTTCGATTTCATTGGCTCGTTCCGAAGGAGTGGAATTTTGTATTTCTTTTGACTCGTCACTTATGCCTATAGAGCCAGTCGGTCCAAAATGTTTTTCGAACAAAAGGAGGCAATTCGATTTACGAGGTTATTATGTTAGGCTCTTTAGAATATTTTATCAACCTCCGAAAAGAGATGCCAAATTTACAAAATATTGATAGTGTAGTAAAGGACACCCTTCTCCAAAAAGTAAAAAAAATTCAAATTCAATTGTAATAAGAATATTAATAAAAATCATTATCGAGACACATATGATTTTGAAATTTTTTTTTTGTCTTGGTTTCAACGTTTATTTCTTTTAACATTAAAATTAATAGCCCCGACCACTAAGCATTGAAGAAAACCCACCTGCATCTACATTACCCAATCCAATTCCTACACCGAAC